TTTTTTCTTCTTCCTACCACACCATCCCACTTTTTTTTTCTTCCCACCAAACCACCTCACTTTTTTTTTCTTCCCACTGAACCACTCCACCTTCTTCTTCTTCCTACCAAACCACCCCACTTTTTTCTTCTTTTTCCCACTGAACCACCCCTTCTTCCCACCAAACCACCCCACTTTCTTCTTCTTCTTCCCACTGAACCATCTCACTTTCTTCTTCTTCCCACTAAACCTCCCAACCTTCTTCTTCTTCTTCCCACTAAACCTCCCCACCTTCTTCCTCCCACCAAACCACCCCACTTTCTTCTTCTTCTTCCCACTGAACCTCCCCCTTCTTCTTCCCACTGAACCACCCCACTTTCTTCTTCTTTTCCCTCCAAACCTCCCACTTCTTCTTCCCACTGAACCACCCCTTTCTTCTTCTTCTTCCCACCAAACCACCCTACTTTCTTGTTCCACTGCAGAAGCAAAACAAACAAAAAAAAAAAACCCTCAAAAAACAACCCCACATTTATGCTACAACTTAGGGCTTGCATGGTGTTGATTGTAGTAATTTTACTCAAGCAGCTCAGGATAATAAAGAAAATGACTCAGAGAGCATCAATGGAAAACTGGCAGCTCTAGCGAGCAGCTGACACCCATGAAAATGTTCGAAAAATATCCCCATTTATAAATAATTCTGCTGACAGCATCACATACACGCCGTAGTTCTTTCCCCGCCTCGCTGGAGAGATTAGCCTGCAGAGAAAACCTTTGTTTCTTCAAGTTTTCTTTGTTACATGTCTGATGAATAGCAGGAAGCCAACATCTTATCTCTGTGCCTTCACCGGAGCTGCCACACGGCCTCAAGCCAAATGCTGGCTGAGCCTTCCCCACCTGCAGCACCCCAAGGTGAGCCAACACCCATTCCCTTGGGATGCTCCTGACAGGTCTGGTGACAGCAGCAGAGAGCTGAGATTCTGAGGGTTTTGAGTCCAGGAGGGTTTTGCTGCTGGCAGGAGCTGGACCCACCCCAACCCACCCCTGCTCCATCCCTCGCCCACCAGAGGAAGCCCTCAAGGACCAAAAGATGTTTTCCCCCCACCACGTGAGCAAATACAAATACATACATCTGCCACAGAAGCATAAGGGGTTTCTAAATAAAATGTTGTCAGCCACTCGCTGAGTGCTAAAGTGGTGTTAAGCTGCAGAAAACAGTATTTCCTTTGGCATTTCAGACAGTTTCGAACCAATGTTTGAAACTCAAAACCAGTGCCAAGCCTAAACACATCTGGTTGATCCCAGGCCACAAATAGCACAGGAATGCCTTCAACACCTTCCAGAACTGCCATACTGAAAGCTTAATTCCAAAATAGAGCTGACAAAAAATACTTGTCAGCATGATGCCACACGACAAAACTCAGCAAAGCATGATGCAACCGTGAGATATCCAGACATAACATATGGTGCAAAGATTGGAATTAGTGAAGACCGATCACCAAACTTAGATTGCAGAAGGCAAAAAATAAAATCAAACATTAGTACCTTCAGCCAGATTTTGGGTTTGTTTTTTTTTTAAATTTTAGGTATGTCAGTTATAATCTAAGTGTCATTCGGTTGAGTGGTGCAACCATGCAGGCAGATACCATGCCAATTGGTCATGATTTTATATTTCATGCTATTTTTCATGGATATGAAAATCCTGGTGTTTGGTGCCTGAAATGTGGATCCCTGTTTTGCATGTCCTATTGCTAGAGCAGATCATTAGGAACTTATTAGTGAACTGGCCTGATTCCTCGAGCTTATTTATCATACTTAGCTCATGCAGCATGTGACCAGAACAGAAATAAACTTCACACCAGAGCCCTCCCATCCTGTCTGTTGTGAAAGTGTGTTTTTTCTTTAATTTTACAGAAGCAAGAGCAGGGAGAGGATGAGTACGGTGCAGTGCCAGCTGAGAGCAAAGGGGAAGCACCAGTGTGGAAGGAAATCCAGCAGGAAAAAATATAAATTCTTTCAGACCACTGAAGGATCTCAACTTCCAGGAAAGCTCAAGCTGCTCCCTTATGAACCTGATCTGCTTTTACCCCCAGGACGTGAAAGCACGGAAAGTCAGGCAYAGAAAAAACTCCACTTTCATAGCAAAGTTGCTGAGAATGAATACCAAGGACTATGCTAATTTTCTTTTTCAATCCAGTCACAGCTACCTTCAAGTCCCACTGTGAAAGTTCACATTTAATAAGGTGTGATTAACGAATCCTCAAGGAAGCCAAAATTGTGTTATGAAATGAAGGAGAGATCTGGCAGAAAGGAAAATTCAGGAGAAACCACAGCTAAAGCAACTCAAGTGACAGGGTAACTAGTAGATGCCTGGAAATTAGAGCTCAGACTGCATTTCTTTGTAAGAGAGCTTCCTAAGCTTGCACACATACAAGGTTTCTTTTTTTTTTCCTTTATTTCTCTTCATAATAAAACAGAAAATTCAAACTTGATGTATTGAATTATCGCAGTATTACTTGTGTGAGCTGTTTCCTAAATCTGCATTTCTGCCAATTTAACCTGTTGGTTGAAAGTCAAGCTTGAAGAAAAGCTCTGGGCTTTGAGCTATAAATGTGTTTTGGCTTTGGACCCCTTTGACCCAGGGGTGTACCAAATCCAGAGCTGGAGTCAGCTACCTGCGATTCAGGGCACAAGTTTAGCCACCAAGGGGAAATCCCAGAGTCTTAGCTCAGGAGATTTAAGCACGATCAAGTCACTTACTCAAATTAGCTTAAAATCCCGAAGCGCTCTCAGCCTAAGCGCTCTCAAACCCCAGCAGTGCCAGTGGAAAACCCTCAGGGGTGAGGTGGGAGCTTCCCCAGTGCCACCAGCACCCTGTGGGATGAACCTCTGCCTTGACCCCATTGTCCTGCCTGAGTTCCCTCAGAGCAGCACCCTTGCTAATACCTCCACAATTGCTAATTTTGTTTATTTTTTATTCCTCACAGACTTTCTGCTTTCCCTCAGCACCGTTTTTGTATCCTCCTCACAGAACTGCCCACGTTGTCTCAGTCCCTCCCTCTGACTTTCTTTTCCCAACATCAACAAGCCCAACCCTTGTCTTGTTCTACTTCTCCACCATCTCTCCTCCATTACTTCAAATCCCCTCATTTTTTTGGATGATCTACTTGATCTACTTCTGATGATGATTTTGATGCACACTATCTCTGATGTCCTTCTCTGTCCCATCCCTGGAAACRTTTCAGGTCAGWTTGGATGGGGCCCTGAGCAACCAGGTCTTGGTGAAGATGCAGGGCAGGGCAGGTAGACAAAAATCACTTTTTAATGATCCCTTCTGACCCAAACCATTCTCTCTGTGATTCTCACCCCACAGCCGTGCCACATCCAGCTCCCAACACTTTTCCTCTCCTCAAACTGAGGTCACTCTCCACTGCTTCTCATCCAGACTTGCCACCACCTTCCAAAGGTTGGGTGATGTGCTCATCCCTCAGTTTTTGCCTGTTTTGCTCATCCCTTGCACGTGGCTCTCGTGCCATGCTCAGAAGTAGCCTGGCAGGGAATCATCCATATTTTATAAATTGATTTAGAAATGAGCAGATTAAAATACTTTGTATTTTCATATTAATTTATGTGAGTACTAAAAAGGCAATGTTGGAGCTATTTAGTCTACCACAGCCATATCAAGGCCTCATTTTTGATCTGAGGGAACCTGACAGCTCGGGCAAAGTTCTTTGTTCAGACACCACACAACATACCTTAGCAGTGCTCAGCGTGCAGCTGTTACAACACTAATTGAAATATGTTTTTAAATGTATCAGGTTTCTGAACATTTGCAGAAGAATTATTTTCTTCCCTTCACGTGCAAAACCCAGTATTTCAGCCATTTAAARGGACTGTTTAATCCCTACAATGTGTTAGGAGGTCATAAAATAAAGCTGGAGGTATTTCACACTGAGAATGGGGATAAGTCTGCAATTGTACATGGGGGAGGAGGACCTAAAACTTTAGGTAGACACAGAATCCCMGAAAGGTTTGGGTTGGAAGGGACCTTAAAGCTCATCCCATTTCACCCCRTGCCATGGGCAGGGWCACCTTCCAYGATCCCAGGATGCTCCAAGCCCCGTCCAGCCTGRGCAGGGCCAYACCACCCTCACAGTGAAGAATTYCTTCCTAATATAGAATAATATCTCCCTAATTTCTAAAAGCCTAATAGTTAAACTCATTCTTGTTAATTTTGAAGCCATCACCTTGTCCTAAAGCACTGTCATGCAATGTCACAACAATCATAACATCACTGGAATAGACATAAGTCAAAATGAAGCATTTTTGAACATCCCACCCCATAGGTTTTACTCAGTCTCATCCCAAATCCCCTGCATCATCCATGTGGGATGGAGCTAGGAGAGAMGGACCCAAGGAAGCTCTCAGAAGGGCTCACGAGACACTTGTGTTTCGTCAGATGGATGAAAGGTGTAGATGCCACATTTTGCAATGAAACTAAATGATAAATGCCTCTCAAATATCTAGAGGAAACGTTTGGGCCTTTTTTTTTTCCCTTCATTGCAAAACACAGGTTCCCATGGGGCCCCCGCTCAATCTACAGTGGGGAAATTATAACTAATCTGTTTGCAAAGTCTCTAAAATTGCATTTCTGTTGAAATGAAGCAACAACAACAAAATCGCCGACAGTTAACTATCTCTCAATCTTCCTGGGCTAAAAGCCTTTGACTGCAAAGCTGTGCATTTCCCATTTGCAGTGGGATAAAAGTCACAAGACATCAGATCACAAGCTGTCACCGGTCCCAGACTAAATATCACCCATCTTTTRCCTAAGGCAAGTGGGTCTCTTTTCCATGGGAGGGGGTTCAACAGAAAYCCCACCCTTTGGAGAGGAGAAGGAAACATTTTTGTGACAGTTTGTTTTAATTTTTTTTTTTTTAAAGGCAGTGCTTTTGAAGCTGCTTGGGGGTTTGGATGTTAGATGTAGTCCCAATGGAGATGGATTAGTGGCCAGAGCATAGCAAAGTGGTCAAAGGTGCAAGATAAATGCAATTTATATATAATTGCCCAAGCTGCACCTGTTCCATTTTCAATGGGAGACCTTGTCTGCCGAGCAAATTTCACAACCATAGAATATATCCCCCTTTTTTTTCTTTATTTGAGTGTAAAATGGGGAATTCTAAACTTGTATCAGAGTAAAGCAAGAAAAAATAACCTTTAAATAGCATGTAAATTTTTTATGAATCAAGCTCTAAATAAAGAAAACTCCCAAGCTGGGAATTCAAAATACTAGCCAGAGAGAGCTGATTTGCTACCAGGCTCAAGAACAATATTTAGTTTACAGAATCAATCTGGAAATAAAACTAGTGCTTGCATCAGCATGAAAGCTACAAAAATAAAAAAGAGKTCTTAATAAAATATACAGTGGAAAAGGAAGGGATGAAAGCCCTAGCACAGCTATGAGGCCCTCCACAGCCCACACAAGCAATAAAATAGAATATGATGTAATATAGAACAACAATGAAAGGATTTTAAATTTCTAGGTAGGATTCTGAAAAACTGTTTCCAGCTTTTGTTGCGGAGCAGGCACGCTGAGAGTTCCCTTGTGGAGCCGCTGCAAAGCCGGTGTGCGGCAGACACGGGCGTTGACGAGGGCAGAACAAAAACTAACTTTCACCTTGCTCCTCGATCTCTGGACCAGGAGCCAGGATATTTTTCTATTTCTATGTGCTCCTTTCTGTTTGCTCTCCTGTTTTCCCTCCTTATCAGCAGCACAAAGTTGTTTTTTTTTTTGCACGCCAAAGCACTGACGCTTTGCCACGAAGGCAACCACCTTCTTCACCTTCCGTAAGGAAAGTGTCTTGAACCTCGTGCTAAGCAGCTTGGAAAAATCTGAGATTAGACACATCCCATATTGGCTCAACTAATTTCAGCCTGGCCAAATTAGGATGAGTCCATAAGACCCCACAGGAAAATCATGTGAGCACYGAACGCCTGTGCTCCCTGCCGTGCTCTGCACCCTAATTACAGAGCTGTGTTCTCTGGATTTAAGGAAATAGGACCTTGTGAAGCTCAGACTCCAAGAGGGACACATGTCTTCTCTCAAAATTCAACGGCATCCCAAAATTAACTTGTCAGAATTCGGTTCTGCAATGAACAGTGGCCTCTACGCTAAATTGCAGAGGAGCCAGAACCATTGCAATTCACTCATTGCAGAAATGCAATAAATTTTCYTTCTCCCCGTGAAGCTGAAAGCTATTGCAGAATACCACCAACACTGCACAAATTAAAAACTATGGATTGTGAAATCTGGGGGCCTTTTTCTACTGCGTTCCAGCTGTGGCAGGCATGGTGTACAGAGGTAATCACAGAGCTGCAGACAGCCACAAGGTACGACCAAAAGTTTTTGGGTTGACACAAAGAACTGGCCAAATCCTAGTCATCTTGTCCTGGCAGGGAAATTTACCTCCACTGCAATACCTTAAATATTCCTGTTTTAYGATTAAGGCAGCTCATGTAATTTTACCTGTCAGTGTTTTGCTTCAAATATTTTCTCTGTGAATTTTYAGGGGCCTCTGTCAGGCTTTTTTAATCCCTGTTCTATCACTGGATGAAATAGGTACATGGACCTTGAGAACAGGTGACAAATAACAATCTGATTGTCCCAAAGTATTAATAAAACACATATATTCTTTTCAAACAGAATAAAGGAGATTGKTATAAACAACATCCATTATTTGTGCTTCTCCAGGGAAGACAGGAAGTGTTCARTTCCCCCTAAAACATGTTTTTTATGAAGCTACAACAGGTCGTGATCAGCTGCTCACAAAACAGCAACACCCGCAGAAAAAAAGGGTTTTTTTTCTTTTTCAGGTATCAAAAATTTGGTAGAAAAACCTGAGTCTGCTCTTACAATGACCCCAAAGGCAAAATAGGGTGTTACTTTCAATTCAATTCCTTCCACTGAACATGGCCTGCAGTTTCACACCTATGTTATTAATGCAATTACAAACTCTGCCTGAAACGATCAAATTCATTTGAAATTCACTTAAGATGCACCTGAGCCATGAGCCAGAGTGCCAATGCAGCATGATTCCTAACTCTGGGAGGTACTGAGGTGCACCAGGACTGGCCCAGCCAAGCTTTTCAGAGCTCCCAGCCACTCAAACACCAGCGTGATGCACTGAGGCTCCTTGAACGCAAAAATCCTTGATCACAATGCTTCCCATTTTACCCATCGAGCTCTCTTGCAGGATTTCGTGAATTGATATTTACAACACCCCGGAGAGGGGGGCTGGTATCATTTCCCCCCATTTCAAAGATGGGTGAAGGTGAGGGAAAGCTGAAGCCATTTGCTGTGATTTACAGAGGAAGTCTGTGGCGAGGCAGGGCAGTGCTCAGCACTCTCAGTACCTCTGCCATAGGACCATCCTTCCCATCCCTAAATGCCAGTCTCCAGCCTGATGATGTGCTGTGGTTCTAGGTTATTAAACCTGACACCCTATACATGCTCTGGATCATAAGGATGAGTCCCATAAAACTGAAAGATGTGAAGTTGAGAAGCCAAAAGGGACAGAGGAAAGGAGCAGGAGAAGAGTCCCCGAGTTGCAGCTGTGTGGCATTTCTCTAGGCAGTAGGTTCCTGTGCTACTTCAGGACCATAACATATTTTTGCTATTACGAATGCAGTTTATTTTGCAAATCAAGGTGATTGCACACATTTCAGCTTGTCAAATTTTCAGCCTTTCAACCATATGTCTGTCGACCTTATGGACTACCAACTTTATGGGATTCAACCATATGTCCAGATCCCGATATATATGAAGGCCAGTTCTAACATAAGAGCTTTACAGTAGTAGTGTAGTAAACCATAATGTTTGCAGATGGCTGTAATAAAATCATTCAGGAGAGGAAAGGTGCAGGGACGTAAAGCCTTCAAAAGCTTCTTCTACTGAATAAACAATTCGATCTGAATAATGTAGTGGGAAGCACATTCCACCAATGAACTGGCTGATCTAGTCCAAAATGTTGCTTTTAATTTTCTTTCCTAATCCCACGAGTATTTTAACTTCCTTTTGTATTTTCCTTTGTGGGATTAGTTTAAAATTTGGAAGAAAAGTGTAAGAGGGAACAATAACAAAGTAAAGGATTTTGTTTTAAAGGCACAGTCCACTTCCGAAATATAAATTTTTCATCTGTAAAAAGCCAAAGGGTTATGTGGGGCCTGGAAGATGTATTAATAGAGAGGTATAAGGTTTTTACCCTTGCATGGTGAGATTGAAGGATGATGTGACTTGCTTCATTTCCTGAAGCGGGACTCAGCTTTCAAAGTTAAGGAAAGTTTCCTCCTGAGTAAACTTTTTCTAACTCTGGGAAGTTGGAGTTTGGTTTATGTCGTGCTGCACAATAATTCAGATGATAATTCACATTCCCTTTGTCCAGCATAACTTGATATCTCTATTATTTGGGAAGCTCCGGTCCCRTTTTCCCCTAACTGAAACATTCTGAGCCGATGTGTGGCCCTCAGAGAGCTCTTTCCTGGCTGACAGTGGGAAGGGAGCGCTCTCTGTGAGGGGAACCACAGCCAGCATAGGTGTGACGGAAGGTCTTTTTCAAACCAAAGTATTTTTTAAGCTGACAGTGTGCGGTGAGCTTTGGCAAGCTTCCTTGAGCYAGACAAAAATCACTTCCTGCTCAGGGAAGAAAGGAGCCTTCCCTGGGCATTAACTGGGAAGTGAAAAAGTGAACTGCAACCTGCTTGTGCTGCTGGTGTGCAAAATCACAGCAAGAGGAAACCCCCTGGGCTGCTGGCTCTCAGATAATTCAGCCAGAGCCAGCTCTCATGCTGCTAACGTCAGTGGAAGTTTTCCTATTGGATTAAACAGAGCAGGGTCAGATAGTGTCTAAGAAACGAGAAATACACTGACACGCTTCCTTCCCGTGCCAGACTTCGTGCTGACCATGCCACAGTTGTTTCTGAGGGCTAGGGCCTGTTTCATCTCAAGAGGGCTTGTCCTGGGAGGTGCTGATTGCCACCAGAGCCATCACAATCTGCACAAAATCTCGCACTGCACCCRCCGACATTCACCCCATTGCACCCAACTGCCTTTCACCAAGCGATAACCATCGAGAAAAAAATAAAAAAAAAAAAACTCAAACCAGAGCAAAAGAATTTTTTGAAAGCCTCAGCCCTGCACAAACGTGCTCATGAAAGAACACAGCACAGCCTCAGCCCTGCCCTCGGCGCGCAGCTGCCCTACCTGTGTGCTCGTATTTGTGTCGCAGCAGGGAACTGCTCTTCTGGAATGTCTTGTCACATAAGTCACACGCGTACATGCCACTCTCTGTCTTCTTGATCTTCTTCCGGGACAGACACGAGTCCGAGTCCGTCATGTCGTCCAGGCCGGACATGTAGTCTGGGGTTCCATCAAGCAATTCTCCCTGTGGGGGGACCACTGGTCAGCGACAGCCGCTCCCACCACCCCTCCTGCCCATCCAGGAAAGTTAAAATCATTCCTTGGTGGTCCCTCTCATCTTAGGATTGARTATTGAAAATGATGATTGAAATCATCAGTTGATGATGTCGAATCATATTCATCATTGAATAATGAAACTGATGATGAAAACTATGGAAATAACAAGGAGCCTTCTATGCCTCAAACCAACTTTGTGTCTCTAAGCTCTTTGCAGTAATATGGTTTGTGCAAACCAACAGTATTTACTGCATCAGCACTAAATATTTCCAAGAAGCAAAAAGTGCAGAGGGGAGGCTGTTCACGGCCAGCAAAAGGTATTGTAACATTTTATGGAGGTAAATGTAAGCAACATCTAGGAGACCATTCTTTTCAAAATTCCAAAACTTGGTTACATTCTGTATCTGTAGAAAGGTTTTAATTGAATTTTATATTTAGGTACAAATGTTATTATTATGCAATCCATTTAAATGTATGTCTCCCGACTAAAGGCCTCAAGCTATATTTTTATATTTAATTTTGTAATTTGAAATAGGGAATATTAATAACACTTTTTATCAATGTTCTATCTATGTTAAAACAGCCTTCAGCATTAAGCAATAATGAATGTGGATCAGTAAATTATTAAATTTCTTGATATTTATTTTGTCTTGATCCAAAGAGAGTGCAAACTTGCATGATAACATACATTTCCATTTGCTATCACACAGTTCAGTTTTCTTAGACTAGGTTTGCACTAATTAATATTAGAGAAGATTAAATAGGCTTAAATACATTTACAAAGAGGGCAGATGTACTGTAAATTGGAATAGTGGAACAGCTGTTATGGAGGTGCAGTGCTATTTATGCTCCTATTGTGCAAAGAGGGATTACAGTCTGTAATGTAAAACTATACCTGATTTTCACATTTGAAACTATAAAACATTTACTAGCCAGTAAAATTACTAATAGACGGTAATAGGACATGGGGGAACAGGCGCAAATGTAAGAAAAAATTATTAATCTATAATCAGTTAATCTCATTTAACTAAACTCTGTATATTGTGTCTGAATACACCCAGCAAAAGGCTATAAAAGCACAAGAATTCTGTCAAGCTGCTCTTCACTGCAGGCATGCAAGGGACAAAATCCTTTGGTACACCTGTGCTGGCTCTGGGACGACCTGGGGGGAGGATTAAGGGTTGTACCCGGGCATGAAGAAGTGCTGACCCAGATTATGTGTCCAGGGAGAGACTTTGTCTGCGATTAAGGGCCCTGGCTGCTACCTCTCCAAATAATTTCATTTAATCTCTGGGGTTTTTTCAAAGCTGTTCCAGATGACTGGCAGGATTAGAGGACTAGGAGTCTGGGAAGAGCAGTAGGTGGTCCAAAAGAAGGGGCTATGGGTCAGCATTTCTCATCCCCCAGACATTTGTGAGAAGGGAGGAGAACTTTCCCATGAATGGTGGGTGAAAAATTCCCCMAAAATATGGAGAAGGAAGCTCTGAAGGCTTTGGATGGATTACAGTGTCTATGAGGCTGTATGAAGCTGCTTAGAGGCGCACAACTTTGTGTCCAAGTGTGGCGGTGACTCCCACTGATCATTTTCTCTATGGGGAAATATAGTTTCCCTGCAAAGTTTCCTTTTTTTTTTTTTTTTTTTTTTTTTTGACAGGTTTTCTCAGGATATCATTACTATTATTATTATTATTATTATTATTATACTACAAATCTAATGAGAAACATCTGATCTCTTAACAGAATAAAGGTCACTGTGCCTGTTCAAACTAATCGGGTCTGCTTCTGAATCCAACCAGAGGTTATCTTAAGGTAACTGCCATTTATTGTCCTACTCCACCACATCCTTCCAAGTTCAGATTTAAATAAACTCTGCTAATTTTGTTGGAAACGTTGATTATAGCTTTGGTCTTTTTCTTCTGCGAGAGGACATATCACAAACTACTACATTCTAGCCTTCWGAAGGAAAAAAYGGTCRAAACAATTTACCTGAAATCCTTGTTTCCGCTGGTACTTTCTCCTTTGCTGCATATCGGCAAAAGTAGCTGCTCCAGTTGGGTAGGTATAGGCCATATGTGGTAGGAAGCTCATCTGATCTAGTCCTGGGTATGGTCGCAGCCCAGGAATACTGGTCTGGACTGGTGGCATAAAAGTGGCCGGGGGAAATGCGCTCTGTGGTGGAAGTGTTGTGTATAAAGGTTTGGCACTAAATGGGTTCATACCAAATACTGGGTTAGTGCTTTTATCCAGATTATTTGAATTRGAAAACTCCTTCTTGATAAAAGTCAAGTTCAGTGGCTCATCTGAGTTTTCAGATGACGAAGAAACACTGTTGTGTTCTAAATTTACACTATTAGATTTTGTTTTGTTCTTTGTGGCTATAATACTTTTGGGTTCCTTCATTTGTTTTGGTAAAGACAAGTCCAATGGCTCAGCCTGAAGCTCCTCAGAAGAGAAACTGTTTGGAGTGTAAGAACTACTGTGGGAGTTTTTAGAAGATGTGGAAGAAAGATTTAAAGGAGAAGGAGTATTGCTCCTAGAGTGGTCCAATTTATCGACTGGCTTAATATTGGTAAAATGAGGAGGTTTTGTTAGCCTGAGAGGAGTATCACAATTAGTAACACTGTTATGGAGTTCAGCTATAGATGGTGAAGTTATAGAGTCCACAGGCTTTATTGGAGATCTGGCTGACAAAGAGTCTTTAGTGGGAGTGTTGTTGGTGGCAGCCAGCGCCACCTTGGCACTGGCCCTTTCCAGTGATGGTGACCTGGAACTTGAATACTGGTAGACTTTTCTCTGTTCAAACCATTCCTTCACAAATTCCTGAGGAAGGCCAACAGCAATGGAAATTTTCAGTAGTTCATCAGAGTTGGGCTCCATGTTCATAGCGTAATATGCTTTAAGTACAGACATGTGGTCCTTGTATGGGTTGATGGGGCTAGTCATTCCTTTCTCAGAAAGTACTGATGACAGCAAGAGGGTTTGCTTATCAAACACTCCAGGTTTGTTGGGAACCATGTTCTCGTGAGGCTGAAGGACTGCCTTGATTTCTTCGTTCATTTTGCACAGGTAACGCTCGTGCTGATGCAACGGAATGGGACCAGGAAAGCTTTCTTTACAGAACTGGCATGAAAATGGAGTGGACACGTTGTGGTTCTCTATCATCTTGTCTTCAGTTACCAGGTCTATGAGTGTTCGCAGCTTCTCTTTTTTAATATTATTGAGCTGCCTCCTCGAGTCTGTGGTCAAGCTCTGGAGGCAAGCTTTGGCTTCATTGACTTTCTCTAACGTATAGTCAATAATACTTTTAGTGGCACCATTATGACTTACTACTGGAAGACCCACAGGGGGAATACTGGGGGAGGTAACTCCTTGTTCCTCGGCTTGAGGGCATGAATCCTTCATGTGGTAAACCTTCAACTTGGAGATCTCTTCAGCCTTGCAGTCCATTTTCTGCCTGGAAACYGTGTTGTCCACAATCTGTAGGACCTTCTGCACCTCGCTTAAATTGCTGCCTACCGCAGGAAACCCGAGCAACGGTGCTTCCATCCCTACACCTAAGTGCTGCATTGGACTTTGAGCGGACGCGTGAACTCCTAAGGGGCTGGTTGCTCCAAGTCCACCGTTCATGAAAGGACTAGTTGCACTAAACCCATGTGAGGCCATAAGAACCTTGTACTCATTGAAATCTAGTGGTTCTGTTTTAATTTTCAGTAGGCCTGTTTGCTCAGACATACTAAGTGGTTTGCCATTCTCCAGCTTGTTTCTCAGCTGGGTGATGGCTGAATTAGTAGGAGAGGAAGATACAGAGTTAGGAGAAGAACCCGTCTTGATATTGTTTCTCATTCTGCCATTCACAGAGATTAAACCAATACACTTCTTGCTGCTGATGTGCGAACTGTAGGAGCCAGAATGGGAGAAACGTTTCTTGCAGTTTGGACACTCATATGGTTTTTCACCTAAAATGATAATTAGAACCAAAYGTTACTTATCATTCTTGCTGCTATAATTGCAAGCGATCACATTTGATATCTAACGGGCTGTCTTGTGTATCCAATGATTAATAGTGAGGGAAATATTAATTTTATGAACATGGTCACACACCATCACTGCTTTAACATCGCCTTTCTACAGGTCTTGAGGTCAGTCAGAACCCAGATTCTCCAGATTCTCCAGCCATAAAATGTGAGATTGGCTCCAGACGGACCAGGGCAAGTCACAGGTAAGTACCATGTGGGGAAGGGAGTTGAGTCAAATCAAATCAAGACTGTTAAAATTTGATTTGTTTCCTTTTTTTTTTTTTTTTAATTCTCCTTCCCAAAAAAATGAAATTTTCACTGGATGAGCACCAGTATGAGAAACTGAGTCCTGATGTTAGAACCTCCACGTCAGTGTGTGCCTGGTGACATTTTGTGTGCTGAATTCTGCATCAAGAAGGAGAGCCAAAACGCCCAAGTCATTCAATCTGAGACGCTTGGCAGTTACTCGCTATCTGAGAATATGAGCTGTATTTCACTCGGGGGGACCTTTTTATTTTGGAAAATATAATGGACTCTTCAGGTTCCCGCTGCACAGCCATGAATGAACGCTTCTGAACTCAAACTGCCAAACAATCTATATTATTTGCAGGAAGCTTTACTATTTCCAAATCTTTCAGCGAGACCGTGGTATTAACGGCATGATAAATGAGGATGACTCAGATATCACTTATGAAATACCTTGGTAGCTCCAAGAAGCCAGAAGCAGAACTGTGTAAATTTTAAGCAGTCTTTAAAACTCAGCTAATTAAACAAAATGCAAATGAGCACACCAGCACCTCCGCTACTCACCACTGTGAATTCGCAGGTGTTCCTTCAGATGGTGTTTATATTTGAAGGCCTTGCCACACTCAGTGCATTTGAACTTGCGATTGCCTGCTCCTTGGGTCAGCATTTGGTGCTGGGAGGAAAAGAAGGAAAAAAAAAAGACATACCAATATGAATTTTATGCAAGAGRAACCATGAATTTCAAGCTTAAAAAACAAAAATTAAATTAATGTGGCTCTGGATTCGTCAAGCGGACCAAAAGGTCTGCATGTACATTTATTTGTCTCATCAGTGTTGCAATAAAAATCAAAATGTTGGCAGTAAACCGAAACAAATGAGAAAGTAGTTTCACATGAGCATTCGATATTTGCTTTAGAATTATTTCCTAAGTCTCTCATCAGAAATGTGTTGCTTTAAGGTATCTTATGGTGAGAGAAACAGTTTTATAAGAAGATTTGTGGCTCTTAATATTCCTAGCAGATTCTGAACATGTGGGACTCRGCTTGTTTAAAAATTCTGTTTACTGCATGTGGAGGAAAGAGAGAAACACTGTCGTTAGTGGCATTTCGTGTAAGATTTAATTCATTATATCAAGCAGGAGAGACTGCGTCTTCAGCATAAGCTGCTGCTGGAAATGATTTTTTAAAATCACAGAGCAGCAGGAAAGACTTGAGCTACCTTTCGTGCCATGTTTTCCCCCAGTGCTCTTCTAAGGGGCGAGGGAAAGTTGGAAGTTAAAAGTGGAGTAAA